ATGTATTGGTAGTTCCTCTGTTGAGGATAACAAGCCCTGTGGCCAACACCCATTCTTCAAGTTCCTCGTCACGCGCATCAGTTACTGAGGACCCCCACGCCAGGGATTTGGCGTTAAGATCCCCGAGAACGAGTACAGGGTGAGGGTGACATTGCCCAATCATGTTCCCTAACTCTACTAGAAACCTCTCAAACTCTGATAAAGGTTTATTAGGAGAGAAATACACTCCCACCACAACAATCTCTCCCAATGCTGCCGCAACGCATCCATTACCCCTCGCTACGTTTTCGAGGGGCGGGGAGCCAGCGGAAGTTTGAGAAATTATGGTTACCGTGTCTTCCTTGTCGCTTGCCCAGTTATCTCTGGGCGGGACAAAGTATGGCTCGGCAATCACGGCCACTTGTATCAACCATTCCGCCATAGTTTGGAGCAAGAGGTCTTGGGCTCTGGCGTAGTGGTTGATATTTCCTTGTAAAAAGTGGCGGGTCGCAATTATGAGAGTTCCATAGTCACCTCCTCGGCCCTGACCTGGTAGTTGGTTGGTAACTGAACTAGTTCCACCGCAGTTCCAGCTGCAGTTTTTGGACTCTTCTTCTTAGAGCGGGGGTCAGCACAGGATTTGCTACCCACCCTGTGCCCTGCGGGTTTTTTTACGGCTGCACACAACGTACAGTGTGGTGCAGCAGAACACTGTTTCGCTTTATGGCCAGGCTGACCGCAACGATAGCATTGATCGCTACGGTCTACTTCTGCAGTGCATCTATCTTTGAAATGCCCAAGCTCAAAGCAGCGGAAGCAATGGCCTAGCTTAACCTAACCTAACCGAACCTATCGTGTCTTTGCGATAAACATCCAACATATCCTGAAAGAACAACGGTTTCGTTATAATTCGGTTTTCGGTGTAATGAATATTAGAACAAAATTCGAGTTTGTGATAGGTTACCGCGTGTATGAAAGCACTAATGCGTGTTGAAAAATGTGTGTCAGAACCGTAGCAAGTGAAAATCTATTGTATCTGCCAACCCCTATGGGAAAAAGGCGTGAAGTATTTGTATGTATGTATGTATGTAATTGTTCAAAACGAAACATACGTAATTCATATGTAATATAAAAAACAAAGTTAAATTAAACGTTCAAATTACATTATCATTCTCGTTATTAATTAATTTTACGTATTCATGTTATTAATTATCTTCTGTTGCTCTTCATTTCTAATTAAGTTCTATTTGATGAACTCTTGTAACGAATAGAAGCATTTTAATATCATGATTTTTCTCATTCATTACTGTTTTTGTATGTACTGATATTTTATTATAACTTTTTAGCTATTGATGAGGAATGGGAGTGAGTGAAATTTAATTTTAAAGTTGACGGGGTGGTAATGTCCCCTACATTAACCCTAAATTTAACCAAACATTGTTTTAGCGTGTCTATCGCAATGTGGGAATAGGCCATGTTTTTTTGACAAAGTACTCATTTCTAATATACATATTATATATAACAAAGTGAGGCTAACCACTTTTTCTTTGTTGAACAATGATCGGAAATTTGTAATTTCATCAATGTTGACAACTGATGCTTGGACATTATTTGGTTATCTAAACAATTTGTGAGGGTTTCTGCTGTTTACCCATAAGATAAAGCCACACTGTAGCCAAGTATACGCAAATATTAAGTAATAATATTTGAAATGAAATCAAGCCGAAAAATTTGATTCGGACATTCATTCCTAATGCTCGAAAAGAACCCTGGATCCCGAATGCAATGACAGTTACAGGAGGTTGTTTTTAACGGACTTCAAAAAAGGAGGACGTTCTCAATACGACTGTGTGTTTTTTTTGTATGTATGTTACGCGATAACTCCACGCATTTGTGAACCGATTTTTATGATTTTTTGTTGTAAAGAGGGTACTTCAGTAGTGGTCCTATTTAAGTTTGAAGAAAATGTTCCACCTCTAAGTAAGGCAATTGGCAAACTAGGTGATGAATGACTTTTGAGGTCGGTTTTTTAGTACTCTGTACTGACTTTATTGCATAATAGCTTCAAACCATCGACATGAGCGTTGGTAATCATTACCGACGTACAATAGAACCGTGGCAGCTATAACTGCATCCTTAATATATTACTATTGAGAAATCGCAGGGCGCTGAGAGCTTTTTGGGCGTAGTTGGTCCATAGGCTGCATGTGTGTGAATAGTTGACAGTACGCCTAGAGTACCGTAATGTTAACACCGTCAGTGAGCCTCGCAAACCTACACGCCAACATATTATTTAATTGCAACAACTAGTTATTTTAATGCTGTCTGTTTATTTGTGTACTTATTTAGCGCGTATAATGCATACGTCATTACATTGTACCTGGACAACTTAGCTCCATCAGCAAAAGAGACAACTTTTCAAATTGGTCTACTGGTTATGAAATTAGTCGATAACTTTTTGTTCTTAAATAGCAAAGTTATAAAATTTCACGTATACATAATTTGTTTCATGTAGTTGTTTTTTACGACTTTCGTTTGATAAAAGCACTTTCACATTTAGAATATTTGTATCGAACAGATATTAACGCACTCTAGAGCTTCTTGTGAAAGAGTTCATCCAGGGAAGTACTTCCACCTTGCGTATTTATGACGCCAAGTTCCGGTTATGAAGGGAGAAATTACAGGTACATGAAACTTGTCAACTTATGTCTCAGGGCGATGGGCGCAGTGGCAATGCCCCACAGATCTTTGTATTTTGAAGCACTGAGTGGTACTGCAACTATTATGGTAAGGTGATTAGTGTATCCGCTCACGCGATGCGCTCTTCCTACCGCAAAATGGCGGCTATTTGGTTTCCCAAATTAGAAAAGCATTCAGTTTAAATACAAGTTTTTATAAATAAAAATTATTATTCTGCATTGCTAAATAAATACCCTCCTTACTACAAACAAAAACATCTCAAATAAAATGCAGTAATACACCGCAAATCCTGCACTTAAAAAGCACTAATGAAATTTTTGGTGTACTTGGATAAATATGATAATATTCCGTTTGAGTGGTTCTAATATTTACCATGAAATTACTCCTTAAAGTATAGTTTATAAACATTTATATTCAGGGTAAACTTAAAAAACGCTACTTACGGTATGTTTTCAATAAATAAACACCGAAATCACCAGCTCAAACAATAACACACACGATTGTCGTGACGTATTTTTGAAGTTGTTTATTTTTTTAAATTACAGACCCAGGCATTAAAAACTTTATGGTTTGCTAGAGTAGTTACCGAAATAGCAATTAATATTAGTTATTTTACCTGTTATAACTTCGATATCCGATAAATCGGTATAAAATCAACACTGGCACCTCTAGGTGTGGTATGCGTCTACGGCAGCATATATCGCGTGAGCGGGTAAATAATAGAAAGAGCACACAGCATATTTTTATACGAAATTGTATTTGGAAAAACATGCATACAATATTTGAATTTTGGATTTCGCGATTTTTGTTACTCAAAGTTACGTTTAGCACTGTAACGAAGCCGAATCCCCGAAGTTAGCTCAAGTTATTCCCAGTTATGAAAATATTTCCAAAGGAAACTAATTACTATTCTTGAAAGTTTCGGTTTTAATCAAGACAGGTTTTTAGGAGTTTGCATGCCGACAAGTTACAAAGTGGTCGCTTTGATCGCTGTTGCTATCTACGGAAGCTGTTTTAATTTGCTTCACTCGTCAGTATCACATTTGACTATATTGATAGGTAAAACGTTTATTGTCTTCTCACATATTAAATAATTTAAGATATATAGTAATAGTAGAGCTCCTTGTGATAGAGTTCGTCCAGGGAAATGCTGCCACCTAACCTATCTCTGTCGATAATCAACATTACTGTGTTCCGGTTTTGAAGGGTAAGGGTGCTGGTGAAATTAGAGGCACAATAGACTTGTCCAGTTATGTCTCAGGGTGACGGGCGCAATGGCAGTGCCCCTTAGATCTTTGCCATTTAAAGCTCTGAGCGGCACTAAATTTGACTTTAGGCGAGTCTAATGGACTAATCCTTCAGCTGTTTTAATCGTAGGTTCTCTGCTGGGTATCAACCGCGTAACCGCATAGTTAGATATAAATACCGTAACCTTTTTTTACCGCAAACTAGCTCTACTTCCTTTGGATTGAATATGTATAGGTACCCAGAGCAATTGGGTATATTTAGGGATCTCGCTAGCATTGTAGCTGTTACTACGTTCAAAGGGTGTGACCGGCGATTTAAAAGTCATTCATAAACAGCTTTTCATCTAAAATGACTAATTTTCGTACCGCCGATGAACTAAGGTTATGTAGTAAAATTTGTCTTCTTCAATTGTTCCATTTCTGACACTTTTTCGCGGGAAAGTGTTATATCAGTACGGTGGCCATTTTGAAACTTCGTATGGTTTTGATTACACATAACTTTACAAGTGACCGTTGTTTTTTTAATTCTTTCCGCTAAATTGCGTTACATTGCTAAATGGCATTTGTTTAAAATCATACCGCTACCAAGGCTTGGTGATCTTTTTAGACATACGTCAAGTCTTTAATCCATTATATTTTAAAGACATTAAGCCTCATTTTCGGTGGTTTATGATTGACGGCATCGGAACTGTTTTTTTTATTTATTGATCTTTGGAACAAGACCATCAGCTTAAAAGTAAATAACAAAAAATGGGCGACTATAAAAGTAATGTTACAAAAATGAATCAACCCATTATTTCTAAGATTTCTGACATTTTGTTATACTGTTCAAAATAACTTTTAGGCACACAGTGCTATAAAATGTACTCTATTTTTTATTCAACTGTTTGCTTAATACGTGGATTTAAAAAGTAATAAAGTTATGATCATTTGGTATACGAGTGTTAAAGTTTTACAATAGGTTATTCATTGCTTTATCAATCCCAATGACCACTTCACCGGTGCCGAAACTTTAAGATTGAATTTTATGTCTATGACTTTGAAAACTATAATAATTTTGATGATTCGCGGTTCCCACACTGGTCGAATATCTATTTGCCAGTTTGATAACAAAAATGTAACCGTTTGAATAAGTTTTATTATGTTTTATTTTTGTACACAAAATTACATAGGTTTTTTTTTATATGTCATCTTGTTACTTTAGTAAATAAAATTAAATGAAAAATATAAATCTCTGGTAAACATAAGTGGAAATCTTAATTGCACAAGCGGTTCGTAACGTAACGTTTACGCGTGCACGTTTTAAAAAAATTACTCCCGCATTTTAATAAATTTTGGAGCGAAAGCTTGAAGTTAAATAATGAGGACGTATGAAGGAACGTGGAAATGAGTGGGTCGAGTAATAACTGTGTGAAAGAAGGCTAGAATTCTAAAGGTTGTAACATATTTACCCGTTGGGTTATATTTAATTTAAATGGGCATAGAGTAGAGGGAT